CAATTTCTAATTTTTAGCTCACCTGACCTGAAAGGTCAAGTGAGCTTTTCTCATCACTTTGCGTCCGTCGTCCGTAAACTTTTACAAAAATCTTCTCCTCTGAAACTACTGGGCCAAATGCACCCAAACTTAAACACAATCATCATTCAAGTATCTAGTTTAAAAAATGTGTCCGATTACCCCGCCAACCAACCAAGATGGCCACCATGGCTAAAAATAGAACATAGGGGTAAAATGTAGATTTTGGCTTATATCTCTGAAACCAAAGCATTTAGAGTAAATCTGACGAAGGGTAAAACTGATTATCAGGTCAAGATCTATCTGCCTTGAAATTTTCAGACAAATCTGACAACCTGTTGTTGGGTTGCTGCCCCTGAATTGTTAATTTTAAGGAAATTTTGCAGTTTTTGGTTATTATCTTGAATATTATTATAGATAGAGATAAACTGTAAACAGCAATAATGTTCTGCAAAGTAAGATCTACAAATAAGTTGTCATGACCAAAATTGTCAGTCGACCCCTTTAGGAGTTATTGCCCTTAATAGTCAATTTTTAACAATTTTTTGTAAATTTTTGTAATCTCTTACAAAAATCTTCTTCTCTGAAACTACTCAGACAAATTTAACCATACTTGGCCATAATCATTATTAGGGTATCTAGTTTAAAAAATTTGTCCGATGACCCCGCCTTCCAACCATCATGGCCGACTTGGTTAAAAATAGAACATAGGGGTAAAATGCAGTTTTTGGTTTATATCTCTGAAACTAAAGCTTTTAGAGCAAATCTGACAGGTGGCAAAAATGTTCATCAGATTTAGATTTATCTGCCCTGAAATTTTCAGACGAATCCGACAACCTGTTGTTGGGTTGCTGCCCCTGAGTTAGTAATTTTACAAAAATTTTGTAGTTTTTTGTTATTATCTTAGATATCATTATAATATCTAATATCTAATACTATTAATTATGATTTTAACCTTATTTTACATGATTTCCAAAGCATCAGTAAATACAGGTGAGCGACACAGGATCTTGAGAGCCTCTAGTTAAGTTCTTAGACCACATTCATTCTGTGTCAGAAACCTATGCTGCATCAAATATTTAATCACAATTCAAATTCAGAGCTGTATCAATCTTGAATATTGTGTCCATACTTGGCCCAACTATTCAGGGTTCAACCTCTGCAGTAGGATCAAGCTGTGCCCTATTTTTGGTTATTTTTATACTTTACTTAATGTTATGAAAACACTTTTCTTCTTCCATAAGATTTCTATTTGCTTATCCACATTCTTTTGTATTTTTAAATTTTGTAGGCTCTTAAATCCCTGGGTTCATGTGATTGATATATATTTAAACATGAATCATACGGGAAACCTTCTTATATTGCTTTAAAAAGAGTTGTTTTAATGTATAATGTATAAAAATATAAAAATTGGTGTTCAGTCTTCTTAAAATTTGAGAACAAATCCATTTGGATCTAGGAGCAACACCTGATTATTCAATGTTTAAATTAACTTTTAAAAAAAAATGAACAGAAAGTGTTTTTGTGAATAATTTCTGAAACTTTAAATAAACTTTTAAAATGATGATATGCTATTATTCATTAAAAGTCTGTATGTGAGAAGATGTATAAAAGTGAATGTTTTTAAGTACATACTTAAGTTTTATTGGTCTGTGGTTTACCAGAGATAGTGATGTTTTCTGTTTATCTGTACACTGGTGAGTAAATCCACCCAGAAATGTGTTATCTATTGATACAGATGGTATTACTACCGATATCTAACACACACCTGGCTGATGTCTGCAATGTGCAATTTACTAGTTAATGAACATGATGAAATAAAGATGCTTTACTTTTCATAACATTTAAGATGCCACTAATAAAAAGTAACTAAAACCTCCAAAACTTCTTGTTTTGGTAGCAAAAACAAGACTTGATGTAAAAATGGCAGGAGCAAAAATGATATCAGTTAGTATCATCTTATCAGTTCAGCTGATGACATCCATCCTTTACTCATTTGATGCTGGTTATCTTAGGTTTTTTTTTTTCCACGGCTATCGACTGAACAAATGTTTGAAGGAGGAACACGTCATATTGGGCTAAACAACTATTGTGATATTTCGGATGAATGATGTTGCTATGCTTGTTACATAAGTGTTACAGAAATAGCAGCTGTATATGTTATTGTACTATTTATCACATTACTGTACAGTACTTAAGATAAGATATAATAACATCTGATATAAGTAGATTATTAACTATACACCTACACCAATACTTCGTTTATCTTCTCTGTAAATATCATCTTCTCTTAGTTATTCATCTGGTTCCCTTACTCATTTTCCAAGTCTTTAAATTCAATCTGTTTGTCAAAAAAAGTCTATCATAACATATTGCCAAAATTTGTCAGCTCACTGTAATAAAAATAATCATCATTTCTTTAACCATTATAATAACAGATCCACAATGATTTCCCGCAGTAAGCTAAATAACTTATTAATTAAAATCGGTAGACCTATAAATTCCTCTATATCAAGAGTAGACACAATGGTTTAGAATTCTATAGAGTAGACCTAATAATTCCTCTATATCAGAGTAGACACAATGGTTTCAAAATTTAAAAGAGTAGACCTAATGGTTTCTAAAATCTATAAAGTACACATTATGATTTCTGATTTTCAAAGACATGTCAGGCATGGTTCCTTTGACCATAACCTTCTTTTCATGGTTCATTGGTCAACATTAAGTTTTTGTGATTATGTCTGTTTCTAAGATACTATAAGCAATAGGTCAACTATAGTTGTTGTATGGAATGATTGTATAGTGTATTTGTCTGTCTGGTAGGGTTCATCTGACCTTGACCTCATTTTCATGGTTCATTGGCCAATATTGAATTTTGTGATTATGTCTGTTTCTAAGATACTAAGTAATAGGTTATAACTATAGTTGGCATATGGAATGATTGTGAGGTGAACATGTCTGCTTGGCAGAGTTCATCTGACCTTTAGCTCATTTACATGGTTCATTGATAATGTTAAGTTTATGTGATATTTGTAGAAAAACTTCATTTTAAAGACTTTCAACTAGTTCAATCATCATCAGTAAAGCAAATGAGACATTTCAGGGTGTACACTCTTGTTTCACTGTTCACATAATGACTTACAACTGCAACAGAAAACATATATGGCCATGCTTTTCAGAAATGCTTGGATCACTCTCGGATCACTAAAGATTATGAATAGATCAGTGTATTGAAGAAGGTTTAAAGTGTACAAGCTTGGAATATAATAGACTCTAAGTACTTTTAAATTACCATATTTCCTTATATTTATATTGTAATTAGTGTTTGTATTTTCATTTGATAAAAAACCTCCAAGCCATAATTAGGAAGACAGGAAAAAGTCAATAATAGAAGCACTTAGAAATTTATGTGGTTCATTAAAATGTCAATAAAGAATTGTTTCTTTGTTTTACTTTACATTGATGGAGTTGAACTGTACTTGAATATGTGTAAGAATTTATAAAAAATAAATCATTGATTAGACAGTATTGTTTACTGAAAAGATTTGCATGTCTATTAGAACAATGTCAGAGTATGACACCATTGTATCTATAGTGTAAACGTGCATATTTTCAGGCTTTCTATTGTATTAGTCAGATCTATACATTCCATATGACATATGTAATACATTGATATCCCAAAGATAATTCTGTTTAAACAATATTTAAAAAACATCTTTTTCAAATCTAGCAGTTAATATGCATTTTACCATATGGAAAATATGCATTGCATTTCCTATTCTCTGCATATTTATACAGTAAACATGATATAAAAACACATGTTAATCATAAATCGTGTTTATGATATAAAACCTTTTAATAAATAATGCATGAATTGATTCAGTTGCATAGTTACTTTCTGATGTTGTATGAAAGCTATGCTATTCTTTGAAATGAAGTATTTACTTTGAATTTTGCAAAAAAGGCTTATCTTGTTGTGCAATAGCAGTTTATCTTTTCATATTGTGATTTGGAGCATAACTCTTGCCTGATGCATTTGCAATTTTCAAAAGAACAGATATGTCTGTGGTATTTGCTCTTCACCAATAGGGATGATAAAGGTTTTGTGGTTATACCTCAGTTCCGATGATAGTCCATTTTTGTGTGTTTCATCTCATTTTTCACACAGCAGTCACGTCATCGCTTCAAAATTCTATGTAGTGTTGGGTAGAACAATGTGTCTACATGAAAATATCAATCAAAGATTTTAATCAGGGTGAGGGGTCAAAATTGATAACTGTAGATATTTTATGTGGAAATCTATAAAAAATCATTCCATTTACTTAATTTCAAGGCAAATGCATAGACAAATATGTAGTGATACAATTTTTTTCAACCTCCACATTGAAACAACTCTCTTAGAACTCACATGAGAAGTCTCATTGATCATCATGGTTTGAACTGTCTGTTTGCTAGTAATATGTAACAACTTAAACAAGTGTACAGATATTTCTAAAAACTTACTTGAGACATAGATTAATGCACATGTTTTCTAGCAATATTCATATGAAAAAAGACAGAGAATCTACATATATTTCAATTGGACTTTTAATATTTGATCTGAATCTGCAAGGACATCCTAAGTTTGTAAGAATTCATTACATGTGTATTAACATCCAGGTTTATGAAGTACTAGTATATGTGTTTATACATTTTGTACATTGAACCTTGAGTAACTGTGGTCATATACTAGTGACAGAAACTTGTCAGGGTAGAAATAATGATACAACTTTCTACACTTACTACAGTATAACCATTATGTGCTAAGGCAGCAATTTATTTTAGGTTTGTGCATCATTTGAAATATCTACATAATTTTCTAACTTATACTGATCAGCATAAATGATAGCTTATCATCAATGATAAGTTATGAGGCAACTACAAACAGTAGGCGAAAAGTACACAAAAACCAATTTATCAACCAACTTTTTCTTGTTTTATAGAACCTGAATGGACGAGTGCCTCAATATAATGGAGAAGATAGATCACCAGTGCCTTATCACTTAGTTAATGATATGAAGACTGCTAACTCTATCAGCCCAACCAACTCCAACAGAAATAGTGCTGCCAGCAGTGATTCAGGGAGAGGTTATAGTACAGGACATACAGAACCTAGGGTAGGCACACATAACAATAAGTACAGGACATACAGAACCTAGGGTAGGCACACATAACAATAAGTACAGGACATACAGAACCTAGGATAGGCACACATAACAATAAGTACAGGACATACAGAACCTAGGGTAGGCACACATTACAATAAGTACAGGACATACAGAACCTAGGGTAGGCACACATAACAATAAGTACAGGACATACAGAACCTAGGGTAGGCACACATAACAATAAGTACAGGACATACAGAACCTAGGGTAGACACACATTACAATAAGTACAGGACATACAGAACCTAGAGTAGGCACACATAACAATAAGTACAGGACATACAGAACCTAGGGTAGGCACACATAACAATAAGTACAGGACATACAGAACCTAGGGTAGACACACATAACAATAAGTACAGGACATACAGAACCTAGAGTAGACACACATAACAATAAGTACAGGACATACAGAACCTAGGGTAGACACACATTACAATAAGTACAGGACATACAGAACCTAGGGTAGGCACACATAACAATAAGTACAGGACATACAGAACCTAGGGTAGGCACACATTACAATAAGTACAGGACATACAGAACCTAGAGTAGGCACACATTACAATAAGTACAGGACATACAGAACCTAGGGTAGGCACACATAACAATAAGTACAGGACATACAGAACCTAGGGTAGACACACATTACAATAAGTACAGGACACACAGAACCTAGGGTAGGCACACATTACAATAAGTACAGGACACAAAGAACCTAGGGTAGGCAGACATAACAATAAGTACAGGACATACAGAACCTAGGGTAGGCACACATAACAATAATGGACACCATTTCACAAAACACAGGCTGCATTTAACTTTTAAACAAATGTATTTTTTCTATCATTTCTTTATTAACTGTATCTCTAGATGAAGCAATTATGAATATTCTCTTGGAACTTTGGGTATATAACTTTGACAGAAATAGTGAATTCAGAGACTAACAACATCATGTACAAACAAGAACACAATAACACAAAAACAAAAAAAACACCGACACCAGAAAAATTGAGTATGTTCAACAAAACAGTATGAGCCTCTCCTACAAAGTGAGGGTAATGGCAGTTGTGCATGGAGGGTAAACATATCCTGATCCTAAAAAGGAGTTAGATTTAATATGGATGGATGCATAACATCTAGGAGAAAATATTGTGTATTTAAGAAGATAAACATGATACTGTGATATAATGATACACTAAGATTTTTAAATGGTAACTAGATACTGTAAATTCAGAAATTATTGTGTGCATTTTTTATTGTGATTTTTCAAGAATGGACAAAAATGCGAGTTTAATTATTGCGACTTTGAAAAAATCTGCATACAGGTCTATGTATCAGTTAACAGAATGCGAGTTCTTATTATTGCGATTCTCCCCCAGTCGCATTATTCGCATTAATAAAAATCTCGCAATAATTTCTAAATTTACAGTAGGTAAGAGTCCACAATGTAGAGTGAGACTGCCAAGGGGATACATGAATAATTGACTTAGGAAGTTCTGACTGAACCTAGTACAGAAGCTGACTATATTATGTGAACAGTCATGAGAGTGTTTCATTATGTGTAGGGTCATGAAAGTGTTTGGAATATAAGTATTCAGTCTACTTCAAGAAAGGGACAAAGCAAATACATGTACTATTAATCAGTTTCTAAACTCACATTTAAAGGGTGATTTGTGACTGTTGCTATATATTTTACGTCAGAACTGCAATGTTGAAATAAAACATGAATGAATGGTAGATATAATGTCATCATTCTGACAGAATTATCAAATCTTTTTTAAAAATATGACTTTAGGAAGTTACAGATATTATTAGCTGACATATTACATCTTGTAAAATCTTCAGAAAATTCTATTTATATCTGATATGAATCATAGATGTCCTACTGTTGTACTATAGTAAGAAGGGGGCACCTGTTCTCATTCACAAGGTTGTGTTTGATGACTGTTTTATTATTACTATGTTATCATTCTATTACATTAATCCATAAAACACATCTTTGAACATGTCTATAATTCAATAATCAACAGTCTGACTTGGCAGTGCATGTTATTGTAAATCTTTGGAAACACTGAAAATTAACTCTGAAGGACACTTTTATATATATCGGTCAGTTTTAGCTGGTAAGTGTTTTATTTTCTTTGAAAATTGGAAATGAAAAATATCATTTTTGATGAGTTATGTGGTTTATCTATTACACTATCTTGTTTAGAATAGGGAAGATTGTACTGCAATTAATTGTGTAAGAAATTGGTTAATGTATTCACAAGTGGCTGTAAATGTTGTGAAGTTCAGAAAGTAAGCTAATTACGGTGTATTTACAGTGCTTTCTCTGTCTACTCTTAAATTAAATTTCTTTCAGTAAAGTTGTGTTTTACTTGTAATTTTCTAAATCCATGAATCTCTGATGAATCTGGTAATTGCAGCGCGATGAAAAAAGATCAAAGTGGTATATTATTCCATTAGTTGATCCTGCTAAGGGCAAAGTTTTTAAAATGATTATACAGAATAATTTAACGCATCAACAGTAAGAGCAATTGAAAAAAGAAAACAAGAACAAAAAACAAGTGCTTACTCCAAATGCATCAGCATTTAAATAATAACAATAATAAGATGTTTTTAGATAAAGAATAATGATAATAACACCTTGGTATCATGTACATCAGTCAAGTATCTATTTAATAGAGGAAACTAGAAATGTATTCACTATGGTCAAAGTGCACAAGTTAAAGATTGCACATTTTAAATAGAAGGAAATGTGGATTATGCATCAGTAAGACAGCAACCCAGCAACAAAAATTAGCAGCAGAGGTCAAAACATGAACTTACAATGGACAAGAAGTTTCTATACAATATGTCAAATTCTAAATGGCTCCTATTCTAAAAATGTTGTGCTTAGATTTAACATAGACTATCATAAATCTGCCATTATCATCAAAAACTTATATCCTTAAGAAACAAAAACACTGAGAAGATATAATTAAGACAACAACTGATTAGTTTCTTTTGTTATATCAATCTTGCAAGTTACTTGCATCTGTATTGAATCTTATTGAAAATTTACGTCTTTAGACTAAGGGCAATTTCCATCTTTAGACTGAGGGCAATATATATATTTAGATTGAGGGCAATTTACTTCTTTAAACTGAGGGCAATTTACATCTAGACTGAGGGCGATTTACATCTCTAGACCAAAGTCATTTTAATTCTTTAAAGTGAGGGCAATTTACATCTCTAGACTGACTGCAATTTACATCTAGACTGAGGGCAATTTACACTCTTAGACAAAGGGCATTTTACTTCTTTAAAGTGAGGGCACTTTACATCTTTAGACTGAGGGAAATTTACATTCCTAGGCTAAGTGCAATTTACTTTCTCTAAATTGAGAGCAATTTACATTTATAGTCTAAGGGCATTTTACTTCTTTAAACTGAGGGCAATTCACATCTTGGGACTAAGAGTTTACTTCTTTTAACTGAAGGCAATTTACATCTTTAGATTCATCTCTAGACATAGGGCATTTTACTTCTTTAGACTAAAGGAAATGTACTTCTCTAGACTAAGGTCTTAATAACCATATGGTTTGGAATATAAAAATAAGAACATGTGGTATGATTTCAAATGAGACAAAATAATGAACAAAAAACAAATATGATATACAGCAACAAATGACCACCACTGAGTTACAGGCTCCTGACTTGGGACAGGCACATGCAGAATGTGGCGAGGTTAAACTAGTTTGAAGGCGCGCCAACCCTCCCCCTAACCTGGGACAGTGGTGTAACAGTACAAAAAAAGAAACAAACTATAAAAATCAGTTGAAAAGGAAGTCCACATGACATAATATTTTAGGATTTACCATACCTTTTATTCATTTACATGTCTAGTTTCCATAAATTGAAACTGTTCTTATACCTGACCCTGTCTTACATCTAGTTGTTTTTTACATTTTTTTCAGTCTCCACATAATTATGTAAATGTACAGATTGTAAACCAACACCGTTTATCTGGTCAGAGTTATGAGTCTGGAGTATCTTCAAGACAGAGTTATCACAGTAATTCTAGTTCTAGTGTAGGAAGTCTTGACAGGCTAGAGGAATCAGGGCCTATTTCTAACATAAATGTAGCAGAACTTTTTCATTCGGGCATGCAGGTATGTTGATTTTGTCTTTTATATTTACATTTTAGTTCTTCAAGGAAGGAAAGTGTTGCTGTTTCTCATCTTGAAACTGTTTTAATTTTGACTTGTTTAGATATGAAAGCTATATTAAGAAATCTTTAAAAAAAATATGTTCTGAGAATATCTGATATTTTAGTCTCAAAGAATGACATATTAAATTTAAATGATTTGAAGGTCAAATGACCTTGTTAGATAAAAAAAAAAGAAGGATTTGTTTGTGAAGCAGACACAAGAAAATTACAGAAATGCAGACTGCTGGTGTTGATTTAATTCAAACCATAGAACTGTGTGGTCAGATTGTAATGATTGAGTTCAAAGAAAACATGTGTATTGTGTAATTGTTTTGATGTTTAGAACAGATACAACTAGATAATCTTACCTGCCCACACATGCATTATCTCACAAAGTGTCAAGGTTTTTTTCTTTTTTTTTGTTTGTTTTATGTTCATCAAACATTAAAAAAAGTTAGAAAAAAATTGGCAAAGATTGTGTTATTGTTCTAAGATCTGACAGGAATGCTGCTGTATAAAAATTTGGCCAAGCTGACATAGAAAGTCAAAACATTGTTTTAATGAGAATGTGCTTAACAGCAAGTATAATTGATGTGGGAAATCATTAACAAAATCAACAATGGCCACTTCACAATACAAATGTATCAAGTTTTCAGCAATGTTTTCCCTTTATGTTCAGTGACCATGTCTTGACTTCCAAGTCAGCATCTTCTATGGAGCAGATGGTTATTTATAGTTGTTAACATCCTCGTCCTTTGGTCTCTGGTGAAAAGTTGTCTCATTAAATATCATTATCCATCGCCTTTTGTTTATATTGTATATATATATGTTGCTTTTTATATGGGAATCATTTTGATGTGTTGCCTGAGTAATCCTCAGCCAAACATGGAGCTGGTACTGCTTTGAAACAATTTCAGTTATTCAATCTATATTAATACAAAGATGTCACATGGATTATGTTTTTCAGGAACATGAGATTATATATTTTTGAATCTGTATGGGATACTATTTTTGTCATGCCTGCAAAGGATATTGAAGTTATTCAAACATAAAGACACTAATCTGGGTTGCATAATGTGTAATATTTCAGAAGGTAGAAGAGCTGGACAGCCCAATTTGTGTTTTTATGTCAATTATTTTTCAGTATGAGTTATAGGCCAACTATATTTGGTTTAAGGAATAGTTGCTAGGTGCACATGTTTATCAGACCTTGAACTCATTTTATAGTTAAGTGATCAAAGTTAAGTTTCCTGATTAAAGGTCAACTATATATATTCTATAAAATGTTTGTTAGCTGTATATATCCATTTGACAGCAGTTGTCTGACCTTGAACTCTTTTCATGGTTCAATGATCAACTTAAAGTACAGTTTTTGATCAGTTTATTTGTGACTAAGAGCTATAGGTCGATAGAATTGGTTTTTGGTATTATGTCCTTCTGACCGGGAAGACCTGATTTTTACCTCTTTTCAATGGTTAATTTTAAGATTATTTGGTCTAAAGAATATTTACAAGGTTAAGATGTTGTCTGTCAGGAGTAACTGAGCCTTAACAGTCACCTGGCCTCTTTTCATGGTTCATTGATCAACATTAAGTTTTAAGGTCAATAATCTAATAAGTGTATAGAATCATTTTATGGTTACAAGATTCATCTGACCTTGACCTCAATTTCATGGTTCATTGATCAGTGATACCTTTTTTATATTACACGTTGCAATTTGCAAGACCTGTATCTTAAAGACTATCCACTAATATAAAGTTATGATTAGTTAAGTACGTGAGACATTTCAGCGTAACTGTTAATTAGGATCTGTTAAGTAGGTGAGACATATCAGCCTGTCCTGGATTTCATTGGGAAAGTGAAAGGCACATGATACCTTTATGATGGCCACGATTGATTACAAAACCGTTGACTTAAGGTTTAATGAAAATCACTAATTTGTGCTAACCATTGAAATTTGTACCCATTTAATTTACTCAATTGAAAGTATTGTGAAGCATTTATTTTGCTACTTTTCTGTAATTGTAATTTCTGTTTTACATTTTCAGGACCATGAGATATTGAAGACCTGGTTAAGGGACCTCAGATATGAGGAATATTTTGGTCTGTTTATCAATGCTGGATATGATATGAGGACAATTTCTAGGATGACCCCAGAGGTAAGGTCAAGAAAATAGTTTGTTATAGTCCTACAGATCACTTACAGTACATCATGACTTTCTCAATTGTTAGTCATACAATAAATTCTTGCAAAGATCTCAGTTACACATATTTTACCATTATTAATAACACCATGGTCATGTAGGCTTTAAACGTGTATCATTCTAGTTGATGAGAGTTACTTGTTGTTATTGACTATATAGTTATTCACAAGAGTGTTCAGAAAAAAAGACTAGATACAACTTATGACAAGTTTTTCCATAAGAAAATGGTACAAATTTCAACAAGTTTTTCCTTAAGAAAGAGGTACAAATTTCAACAAGTTTTTCCTTAAGGAAATGGTACAAATTTCAACAAGTTTTTCCTTAAACAAATGGTACAAATTTCAACAAGTTTTTCCTTAAACAAATGGTACAAATTTCAACAAGTTTTTCCTTAAGAAAGTGGTACAAATTTCAACAAGTTTTTCCTTAAGAAAATGGTGCAAATTTCAGCAAGTTATAGGTTACCAGTAGACAGGAATCCACATTGACATCCTGTTCCTGTATCAATGAGACCAGACCCCCTCTTCACTAGTACTAATCAAAAATTGCAGGATCAGTCTGGTCATCTTTAAGAAGTCTGTTCTAGTAGTATGCCTTAATATATAAAGAACCAATCTATAGAATAAGTTAGGTATTTGATGGAAAGATGATAAGTATTCCTTTTAAATGTCAAATCTTTGAACTGATACTTCTGATCATCCCTTTTCAAATAAATTGTACATGTTGGATTTTCTTCTTTTTTTCATAAATTATTTTGAAAGAGTCAGACTTTGTAATTTTTATTGGGATTTTATTTGCTACACATAACTGCTACAGCTCAAATTAAAATGTAGAAATATTTGTTTGGATGTTTCTGTCAGCAACTGTTTGAGATTTGATGATAAAGTGAGCAGTTAAAGAGCTAGAATATATCTTTTAGTATGTTTTTTGTTATTTATTTGTTTCTGATCTTTTTGAAGTTCAGAAAGGTACAGAAATACTTATATATAGCAGTTGCTACTTATTTGCAGAAATACTGTTGAATTACATTCAGGTTTTTACTCTTTCTATGTATCTCTAGTGTACATAATTTTGAAAAATTAGCAATTTAGGATATCACATTTCCTATAAATTTATCACATATATAATATGTCATTTGTTAGTTTTGAATCATAAATTCTTTAACAATTGAAATAAAAAAATGCATGATTATATCTAGAAGATGAGCACAGTGACCTATATTTTTTTCAAATTAGACATTCATATAATTTTTTATGCTAAACTGTCATTAGTGGCGTACAATATTTGAATAAAGCCTTATATTATAGAGAAGGTAGAAACACCTGGATACTTCATATCTTTTAAATAGATGCCCTCCGTTTGGCATATATACATTGTCTTTGACCTCATTTTCATGGTTCAGCAACTGCTTAAAAAACTATATAGTATTTTTATTATGTGATTTTCTCACTCATGAGTAAAAAAATAACTATATTTGCTACATAGAATCATTTCAAGGTCTACATGTTTCACAGTGTTCACCTGACCTTGACCTCATTTCATGGATCAGTGATCAACATAAAGGTTTTATGGTTTAGTCTGTTTCATATATACTATAAGGGGGCCTCGGTGGCCGAGTGGTCTAAGTAGTTACTACTGTAATCACTAGCCAGTCAACACTGAGGTTGTGAGTTCGAACCCCGTTGTGCGGGTGCACTCGACTCCAATCTTAATTGACTAGGATTGTCAGTTTTCCTATCGAAGGTCGGTGGTTTTCTCCGGGCACTCCGGCTTCCTCCACCAATAAAAACTGGCCGCCACAAAATAGCCCAAAAGCAGTGCTTAAAAGTGGCGTTAAAACACCAAAAATCAAAATCAATCTATATACTATAAGTAATTTGTCACTTGTATTTGGTTATTGGTCCAGGAATGATTGTAAGGTGAATTGTTTGTCTGGCAGGGTTCAACTTACTATGTACTTAATTTTCTGGATCTGAATAAACATGTAAAGTTAGAATTATGTGATACATGTATGGTTTAAACTTGAACCTAAAAATTATCAACATAAAATACATTCAGGATTAGTAAAGCAAGTTGGACATTTCAGCAAGTGCACTCTTGTTTAAGAGTCTCTTCACATTTCAACAGTTACATTTTTCTTGTTGTTTAATTTTTTTCTAATTTTGATATTCTGTGATGAAAGTAAAAAAGGATTGAATTAATACAAAACTTAATAAGACATCAAGTATTTCTGGTATATTATAAATAACATTTTTAATAAAATCTTTGATGTGGATTAAAAGTATACTTGTTGTTGAAGATTTTTTAACATCATTTAGAAATTTAATGATCAAAATTTGAGTTTACTGGTGGTGCCTAAGCAGAGCATATATATTTGCAACCATCAAATCAAAAACTTCATGCCTTCAAATCTTCAAATACAATACAATGTACAGTAATCTTAGTTCTAATGAAACTGATATAAAACACTGTTTAAACCATTTCAAAATTAATTACATGATTCTGTGCTATCTCTCATAACTCAGACTATCAATCATGGAATTGATGTTTTGAAATTTGTGGCATATCTCATAAAAGTTAAATGTTACACACAATGCTATATAAGAATTCTAGTTAGCTATGTAATTCCACCCAACTACCGTACTTTAACTGACACTTTGGTTTAATTTTTTGATTACATTCTCATGATAATAAACAACTCTATGAACATATAATACTACAAAACACCATTAAACATACTTAAAGAAAACTAAGTTTAATGTTAGTTTTGGAAAATTTTCAAACATACGAGCAGTTAATTTTAAAGGTAAATGTATGATATATTTGATAAATTAGCAGTAGGCATATGTTTTTGTGAAAATTACAATGCACTTAACATCATCCATGCTATTAACTATTATCTTCCTTATACAACAGGTGTTTAGGTAACAGGTTAATTACACTAAGATATGCACATTCTTACACTGCTTATAAATATTCTTCTGTTATATAACTAAGATTTATGGCTATTTTTTTCCGTTGCCTAAGGATGTTTTCAAGTAAACAACTAATATAGGGAATCTGGTGTAAACTTAGTCATAAAAGTATCTTATGTAGGTAATATAAGAATATTGTAGTGAAGTTTGTTTTTGTAGTATGAAAATCTTTTATATTGTTTTCTGCACTTGTTTATTGGACCATTTATTGACCTCCCCTTTGTCCGTCTGTTTTCTCAGTGTTTACTTGATAAATGACCAGCCCCATCACGGAAGCAACCTTTCTTTCATATTGAGTATATTTATCTCCTTTTCCTTTTAGAGTTTATTAATTACAAAAGTTTAAGGAATTTATGTCTGTCAGACAGGTGTCATTTGACTTTAGGTATCATTTTCATGTTTCAGTTGTCAAATGAAAACATTTAAGGTTAAAGAGTGCAATTATTCGTAATGCATTTTCCATAGGGTACCAGTGTTGTTCCATAATTTATTTCTTGAAGACTACACAACTAAAAAAAAATGGGTAGCAGTTCCTGTTAATGTCGGCGTTGTATAACAGCCCAAAAAATATAGATGATCATGTGTCAAAAATTGACTTATAATACAGTTGAAACACAACGTTTATTTTTATCACTTAATGAAAAAGGCAATTTTTTAATGTCTCCTACATTCAGAAATTGAATATATTTTCCGTACTTTGTATAATATGAATTTGATTTACTGGATTTTTTTAAATCTAAATGGATAAGCTTTCGATATAAAAATAATTCCAATCCATACAAGATTCTAGTCTGAGTACCATCATGGGGTATTAGCATTGCACATCTCATTACCATGGAGATTATTTGGCCCCGCCCCCTCAGTCAAGGTCTATTGACTTTGAAACTCTGCTTAGTTTACATGTATTAGTTTGTGATTAGGTCAGTTTACGGGGAACCACTAGTGGTAGGTCAATGATATTTGATATGCAGTTGTAAAAGCATTGGCATATCTCATTTTCATGGAGATTATTTGGCCCTGCCTCCTCATTCATGGTCTATTGACTTTGAAACTTTTGCTTAGTTTTCATGTATTAGTTTGTGATTAGGTCAGTTTAAGGGGAACTGTTAGTGGTAGGTCAATGATAATTGGTATGCAGTTGTATAAGCATTAGCACATCTCATTTCAATGGAGGATATTTGGTCTTTACCCCTCATTCATGGTCTATTGACTTTGAAACTTTTGCTTAGTTTACATGTATTAGTTTGTGATTAGGTCAGTTTAAGATGAACCACTAATTTTAAGTCAATGATATTTGGTATGCAAATGTATTGGCATTTGCAAGTTTCATTTCCATGGAGATTATATAACCCCACCCCTTAATTATGGTTCATTGACTTTGAAACTTTTACATAGTTTACAAGTTAATGTTTGTGTTTAGGTTTGTTTAAAGGGAACGACTTATGAAAACTCAATGATATTTGGTTTGCAGTTGTTTTAGCATTGGCACATCTCATTTCCATGGAGATTGTTTAGCCCTGTACCTTCAGTCATGGTTCATTGACTTTGAATATTTCATAACTTACATGTTAAAGTATTGCTATTTTTTAATTTCAACATTTGCATTATCAAAATAACAAATAGGCGAGACATATCTCTGTGTTAACAGTTTATGTATCGGTAGAATATATCTGTTAACCAGCTAAGATATTAAACAGAACAAGATTTTTATGCGATTATGGGTGTCCAGTATTGTCATAAATAGTTGTTCTTTGCCACTAAATAAAGGTTCTAAAACTTTGAAGATTGGTACAACCTGAACTATAATGGTAAACTAAGAATACATACACTTTATAGTTTAATATTTACTGATTTACTTAACCTTTGGTAATTGCCTCATTATAAAGGAATTTATAGGTTTTTTACATTATTTATTTTGAATATTTGCCAATGAAGTCCAGTAATGACCACATAACAGCAATATGATGTTAGAGGGACTTCTGACTTTATTTATCAAAAAGCAACAATCCTGACAACTTATCTGATAAATCATAAAATCAGAGAGTGATTAGCTACATTAAAGTAAGAAGAGGTGAGAGGAAGGCCATTTTATACATTGATTACCATAGGGATTTAGACAGAGTGGCTTATGTATTATCTCAACTCAAATTATTGCAAGCATGGTAATGACCCAGGTTATTACCTGTAAATCTTTAACACTTAAGTTTATGTTGTATGCTTATAAACATTCAGGTGATGATTACTTTCTGATTTTTTTCAGGATCTGACTGCTATTGGAATAACTAAACCTGGTCATCGGAAGAGATTGAAAGCTGAAATTGCCAGACTTAACATTAGTGATGGCTTACCAGATTATAAACCTGTAGGTTTTTAACTTAAAACAATTGAATTTGGCATTCTAAATACTTGGAATCTCTACCCTGTTGTTTAATATATTCTTGTCATAGTATACACTTTTCTGGAATGTTTAGATTTTGTTAAATATATTCTTTTCATAGTATACACTTCTTCTCTGGAATGATTAGATTTTGTTTAATATAACCATGTCATAGTATACACTTCTTCTATGGAATGATTAAATTTGGTTTAATATAACCTTGTCATAGTATACACTTCTTCTCTGGAAGGATTAGATTTTGTTTAATATATTCTTGTCATAGTATACACTTCTTCTCTGGAATGGTTAGATTTTGTTTAATATATTCTTGTCATAGTATACACTTCTTCTCTGGAATGATTAGATTTTGTTTAATATATTCTTGTCATAGTATACACTTCTTCTCTGGAATGGTTAGATTTTGTTTAATATATTCTTGTCATAGTATACACTTCTTCTCTGGAATGGTTAGATTTTGTTTAATATATTCTTGTCATAGTATACACTTCTTCTCTGGAATGATTAGATTTTGTTTAATTTATTCTTGTCATAGTATACACTTCTTCTCTGGAATGGTTAGATTCTGATGATACAGACTTAGTTAGTTTACCTTCCATATTAATTCATGGGGACTATTCTGTAAATGGTATTTTAAAATTATGGACTGGTTTCGTTACCATCTGCCAAGTATCCTCTAGTCCAGAGAAGCTGTGAAGGAATAAAACATACCAAAGACTTGTCATCATCTCCAAATATCTACATACCAAAACATACCATGTCTGTTTTAACTAACTCTCTGGCTGTTTGGCGAACAGTTTGACAATGAAACGACTAAGAATTAACGTAGTAAAAGCTTAAAAAAGAAAAAAAGGAGGATTTGGAAATTAAGATAATGAGTTTTAAATTGCTGAGTTTCAACTGTACATACTATTCAATAAAGTAAACTTTCTTTTTCACCCAATAAAACTTAATTGCATTGGCTAATAAGAAACAATGGTAGGTTTGAAGACATCAAATTAAGTTTGATTGAACAGAGGTAATACCATGTGACATTTATAGCTGTGTTAACTCTAGTATTGATATTGTACTTGTTATGTACATGGCACTAGAATGATCGAAAATAGCATATTCTAATAAGCAACTTGTTATAAATCTTCTAATTAACATATAGAAAGCTACAAATTAGCAATTATTGAGCAGATGCCAATTGGTACTTAGGAGGGAAAATATTGATTATGGTTAGATTTTTGCTTTTAAAGTTATTTTGTCATTTCATACAGTGTAGCATTGAACACGATGTAAAACAAAGATCTGTGATGTAATAATACAGTAAAATCTATACAAAAACTGAAGTTTTTAGGCAGATGCCATAATTGCCATACATTTTATATTAAAATGACTATATGGGAATATGGTCTCTTATATGAGTGCATTAAATTTTTTTTTACTTTTCTTACATTTTTATGTGTATAAATAGTTCATTCTCTATGCATTCTTGGCAATTTATTTGGTGAAGAAACCATTGACATTGTTTGTTTATGAATAGAAAAATCTTTCATGGTGAATGGATGAATACCTTACCAGAGTCCTGATGTAAATTTTGTACTTGCATCTTTTACCCCCAAATATTAGGTCCATTATCCTATAGATATGTGTTAAGGTAAAGTATTATGGTAGATTTTTGTTTTGTAGAATACAGTAGAAGATTGGCTTCACTTATTACATTTAGAGCAGTACTGTAAAACCTTAACTAGTCAAGGATATGCTGATATAGACAGTGTTACTGATATTAGTTGGGAAGATTTAGAAGAAATTGGAATTTCTAAATTGGGTATGTATTGTTTTAGATGATTGGTCATTGTGTAATTTAATCATAAAGTGAAACAACTAGGAACCATTGAAATAACTGTTGTGTAATAAAGCTGAAATTTGAGAGAATACTGCAGTACACATGTCCATCCTACTGAACTTGGTTTGCCTGGGGTTTCATTGCAATTGACACCTGTTGCAAGTATTTCATCTGATGAGTTAACATATATGTTTTAAACACAAGCAATTGGTCAGGACAGATTCCTTTTTGGTTTGTCAATTTATGTGCAAATTGTAGATCAATAATAAAACTAAAAGATATTGCAGGGACTTATGTTCTTCAGTTACACAACTTTAATAATCATTTGATGACTATGTGATATTTTAAGTTAGGTTAGGTAAACTATATTTGGCCTGCAGAATCAATTAACAAGTCTTTCTGACAGGAATTACCTAACTTTGACCTCATTTTCATTGTTTGTTCTTTTAATGTTATTTTTTCTCAATTTGTTCAGTTCCTAATAGCTGTCTGACAGGAGCATGTTTACCTAGACCTATTTCATTGCTTCCAAAAACCATTAGATAATAATCAATTGAGCAAGCTAGATATTTAAGCTTGTATTCTATTGTGTTTAAAATAGTTGCATTAAGAATCAAACATACATCTTAGTTTCAAGCAGTATATAGGATCTCCCTTTAGTTGTGTTTTTTTCTTCATCTCTGTATTGTGAATTTTGACATCTTTGAATGATAACTTTTCTGAATTAGTCTTGAAATAAGGAGATGTGGTATGATTGCCAATGAGACTTCTATCCACCAAAGATCAAGGGACTAGGATATAAATAACTACAGGTCCTATACAACTTTCAAGAAAATAAAAAATCCATACTGAATAGTAAACTTTAAAAGGCTTTGAGATTACAAAATGTGAAACAATTCAAAAGCAAAAACTGTCACAGTTTAATCTAATGAACATGTATGTATTTACCAAGCCTCATGATAATCCATTTAGATTGAGTATGCCATTACATTACCTTGGATGGTACTTGTTACAAGCAGTAAATGAGGGTTTATCGAAGACCATTACTTTTAAAATCTGCTGCATAAGTATCTAAGTATAGCATCTTTAAGAAGTTTTAGAGTGCTGCCTCTTTGGTGATGTTCTTTTGAACTTGTAGTAATTACATTGTATTTATAAATTATTTTATATGATATGCAACCCAGTATTTGGCAAATATAGCTCATTGCATTAAATATTGTTTTTAAGTTTCGCTGCAATGAGTTGAGACATATTATTTTAGAGAAAGATTTAGTTGTAACATCTTTAATAATATTCTATTGGTATTTATAGGTCATCAGAAAAAAATAATGCTAGCAGTGGATAGATTAAAAAGAATTGTATCTAATGCTAAAAGACAATCCACTTTAGATGGAAAACGAGGATCAGCAGAAATTCTAGATCCACCACATAATAATATTTCAAATCGCCATTCTGGAGAGGCCATGTACAATCATCGACCTAGAAAATCTTCTTCTGGAGAAAGTTTGAACAATAGTGAACAAATGTATAATAGTTCTCCGGCAAGGCAAAGAGGTAGTGATGGAAGCTTGGACTCTTGTTTTTTCCCGAACAGTCCAACTACCAAAGCATTTCAACCAGATGTTGTGGCAATTCAAGTTAAACGTAATCAGTCGTCACCTAATTCTTCTTTGACAAAAGATATGGCAGGTCAAACAATAACTTATCAATCTTTTCAGGGACCCTCTAGACGTTCAAATGAATTTGATCGTGATAGCACACCAACAGAAGAAATTGATAATGGTTATAGGGCACCACTGCCTATGGCCCCTATTGTTCCTAAAGTTATGAATAAGCCTAAGCCAGTTGCTAAGATTGTTGCAAAAGCAAAACGTTCAAGTAAAGAATACTCACCAGACTTTGTGGAGGCAGAAAAATTAACTGAGTATTTAGAAGATCATATTGAAAAATCAGTGACTACAGGAAATGGAGGATTTAAACGACAGAAAAGTGACCTTGGATCAGAGACTGTATATGATTCCCCGAAACACTCCCCCTACAATTCAGGCCTGAATAACTCTATGTCTCAGTCATGTCCACCAGGTGTCTCTGGACCTCTTCATTCATCAACACCAATAAAGAAAGTCCCTCCTCCACCTCCTCCCAAACGAAGTAATTCAATATCTAAACAAAGCCAATTAGAATATAGTATACAGAAATCTCTCGAGAATTCACCGTATGCTGCAAGTGTGCCAAATACTGGCAATAATTCACCCAACATTGTTGACAGTTATTATGTTCAAAATTCCAATAGAAATTCTGGAGGTAATTCTCAGAACAATGTGAATAGTTGTAAGGTACCACCAGTAAGTGTTTCATCAACTTCAGGCAATTTTCAGTATGCTGGTAGTATACCTAAATCAGCTGTTCCAAAACTTCAACCTAAACCGGTTATCTCAACAAAGCCTGCTGTGTCGCCTAAACCTAAGAAATCAGTAAAAGTGGCCTCAGAGCAAAATTCATTTGCTAGTTGTGTACAAAGTCTGTCACAAAAATTTGGCAGTAAATGTGGTGAAGTGATCAGTCCTGATGATATGGTTAATTCTGACGGAGAAGACTTTCCACCACCACCGCCACCAATAGCTATGGATATAATTACACCTAAACTTCATAATTATGGAATACCTAGTAAAGAGGATATGCATGGTGAAGAGTATAGACTCCAGTATCAGAGACAAGTTAGTGCAAATAGTGTACAAGGTACTGAAACACGAACATCTACTTGTAGTGCTGTTCAGTCTATGCGGTCAAACCAGGGGCATGAGTCAGTGGCAAACATGTCAGACAATCATAGTGTTCATAACAATTCATTTTCTTCGCCAATATTAAGAAGTACCTCATTACGAACAAGTCCGACTAAGGAGCCACCAATACTGTCTCACATGACAAAAGATTCTCATGTTGGGTCTCATGTGCCTGTCTCTTCACATAATCAGAACCAAAATACATCATCATTCAGAAGATATAATGGTAGTCTCAGTGATTCAACAACTACAATGAGATCGGAAGAAAATGTAGTGAAACATTTAAAAAGTGTAGGATCACCTCAGATTAAACCAAAACCTAGACGAGAATATTTAATTAAAGAAAATCATGTACCGGTAGGTGGTAGAGAAAAAACACCGCCATATGGAACTCTCAAACGGAATGATTCTACGTCAAGTCATGACTCTAATATATCAACATCCAGTGTGGAATCTAATACCTTACCGTTTGCTAATGAAAACGTAGGAACAATTAAACAACGAGCACCTCCTTCTAAAACATCTATAGTGCAAATTAATGAGGGTGAAAACGACCTCAATCCATCCTTATTTACTCAGAGGTCTGAAACAATGACAGCATCTCTACAAAAAAGAGGTAAACAGTTAAGATCAGATATTATCATCATATGAAATATTAGTGATAATCGAAAAGAGTTGTTAAGAGGTAACATCTAGATTTTTACTGAAGATTTTTCATGATGAGGTTACTTCTTTCAGAAAAGACCATTCATAAAAAGTTAACTTTTACTAAAAGAGACATTTGATCAGGGTCTACGGAAAGGAAACTACTGTATAATGCTACAAGGCTTTAGTGGCTATCTTTTATCTTTTCAGTTTTTTTTACCATTTAAGGAATCTGTTAAATAACCAGGTGATCACACACCAAAACAAAAACAGGATGTTATTTTGAAAAGTTTGTTACACAATTTTAGTTAAGTTTGAGACTTTCAGAGCCAACTTATATACAGTATATTTAGGTATGATGTCAATTTTTATAACCATGACAATCACATGATCAATGTGCAGTCTCATTTAGGTTTATACACCAAATCACTTTTAACTTATTGTGAATTATCAGGGTAATATGCTACAAGTAAAAACATAAAGGCCAATAAAATCAGACAATGTATGATTGGACTTTCAATCAAAATTTTTGGAGGGAAATTTATGTTTTGACAAGATGGAAAAAAAGGATAGTTTAAACCTACTTTTATTTTTTACAGATGTCATTCATGAACAAACAGGAAGTAATGGTTTAGATAAAAAGTAAGTAATTCATGTTTCCTTCATTTTCATTATCTTTATTAAATTTATTTCATATTCAGGATCATGTAACGTATACTTACAAGATCTTTACTAAATCAGACCTTACGTGGAAATCAACTGATCTACACAAACTCTTAAAACTGAAATTCTTATGAAGGTGAAAGTGACTAATTCTTCTTAATCTCATTATGTTGTATATAAGGATGTTAAGCAATGTCTATTTACATAGATTGAAGTTGAATTTCGAAGTAATGTCTATCGTGTTTTCCTGTCTATGGAGACATCATTTTTCAGATAACAACAAAGATGTGAACAATTACAGGTCAATGTACAACCTTCAACAATGAGCAAGACATTACTGTATAGTATAAGAGGATATTCCATTAGAATAGATGTTGTAGGGTAGGAATAGACTTTCAAACATACATACTTACCTTGAGTTGTTTTACTTACATCAAATGGACAAACAACAATAGATTACCAATGACCCCTGTCCAAAATAAAACTTCGATTACTTACATCAAATAGACAAACAACCATAGATGACCAACAACCCCTGTCCAAAAATAAAACTTCACTTCCTATGTTCCCACATTCTTTTTAATGGAATAGCCCTAATCTATATAGGGGCACTGGGCTGACGAAATTAAATACAATTTAAAAGAGATAACCAATGTCCTGATATATGCAACAGTGTTGTAAGAATTCAACAAAAACTATAATTCTTTGTAAACAGCCTGACTTATCATATCAGAACTTTATTTGCTTTTGATGTTCTGTAGATGTTAGTATGATATTGTAAAATATAAAGGAAATTTCCTCAAAATATTATCAGAAAGATGTTTCTTGCTTATTTCATATCTGTATTTGTTGACTTCATGTTACAAAGACTAACTGATGAACTGGATGCTATGTTGGAAGGAGAAGCTATATGCAATGGATGACTTTAATATTAACCTTAGTTCTGTAGATGTTATTATGATATTGTAAATAAGTTATAAAACAATTTTCATGAAAATCTTATCAGAAAGATGATCCTGCCATGTTTCACCTCAATATGTGTTGACTTTTTATAATAGATTTTGAAGCATATAACCTTAAATATTTTGTATTGTGTGTTTTACAGTTCAGAAGATGTTCTGACGGATATTGACTTCATGTTACAAGGATTAACTGATGAACTCGATGCTATGTTAGAAGATGAAGCTATTTGTAATGGATGACCTCATTATTAACCTTAGTGTCACATGTCTGTTACAGTCATCAGTCCTGGTTCCTTGTCTCATTTCAGCTGTGCTTATCTATTCATCGGGTGCTTTACAGATTACTACCTCCTAATCCAGTAGTTCAATGGTCCTGTAATTTGTCATCAACAGTAAAACTACTAGAGAAACTTGATAGAAAAATAAGAGTGATATGTTTAATGTCAAAATATCAATGGCCACAGTATTTGACATAATATCAGTGACCAAAAAACATAATAATATCAATGACCAAAGAATATATAAAAAATATCAGTGACCAAAACACATCATAACATCTTAGACCAGAGTAATAATGTCAGTGACCACAGTATATGATCTATCAATGACCACAATACACAACATAACATCAATGACTTCAAGAGAAGTAGTACCATCGATATGAGATCTTGATTCAATGAAAGATACATCACATTTCATTATATATAATGGGTATCTGAAGGGTATATTTTAATTTTAAGGTGCTGAACATAATACACATGTTTAAGATCCTTTCACAGATTTCTATCATAAAAGCCTTGTTTTCATTGACATAAACAAATATCAGACACTGTACAAATTTTGATTGTGTTCACTTTAGTCACTTTCTTGCCTTGGACAATTTGATCGTAGAAACTGTGATTTGTACTTTGTAAATGAGTTTTGTGATTTTAATGTATGAAAATTAATTATCTGGTAGTTAGATAAAGTAGTGATCATATTTTAGAGGAGATTTCTTATTTTACAGCTTACAGATTGTATGTTTATCTGAATTATGATAATAACAAGGTGCTCCCTTATATTTATATGTCTATGATTAAATTTTGGTAAAGGTCTGTTTCTGATATAGCAGTCTTAAACATACACCTGTAGACTTTGATAATCCTTCATGTAGTGTATCAAGTTAGTTTCCCTGTCAATTTTAGAGAAAGACAATATCATAGGCTATGTATTTATGAAATCTAACAGATCAAGTCTAAGGTAACTGGTATGAAAAATTGAAATTGCAATTACAGCCTATTATTGAAATAAGATTATTTGGTCATAGCATATATGAACTTACATACTAGTATTAGAAACAGACCTTCTTGTCTTACTTTGTGTGACCTTGATAAACAAAAAACTTAAATTTCTGTTACTTGTATATAAATTATAAAAATTGTTATTGCACTTGACTTTCAATAGTAATGTTGTTTATTTTCATATAAATAAATATTGTTTGTTTTCTTCAAAAATAAGCACAGTATTGCTCACAATATCATATAATACATAATATCAAATTTTATGATTTTTATTTGGGTTTTTTCAGGATTTTTTCCCCCCATCATGCTATACATATTGTTGCGAAAATCCCTCAAAATCTTTCCCTATTTGGCAAGGGTTTATTCTATCCAAATGCATACGAGTTCATTACCATTATTTAACTTCAAAAAAATTCCAACATAACTACAAAAAAAATCCAGCTATACCAAATCTCTATGGAAGATTAAATGTTTATTATTGGAGGAAAAGATATATTGGTAAAACATTATATAATGTTGCAACTAGGCATATTCCTCAGTAGACGACCGTGCAAGGGCTGTATAGCCAGTCAAGGTCGTTAAAAACTTCCATTTGTATTCCTCAGTCCCAATATAAACACACAATAATGACTTATTTAAGAAATTTTATTGCACTCTAAATTTTAGTATAGTGAAATGCCTCCAAAGGTGATGTATGTCTTAGTTGAAATTATTGTACTATTCAACAGTTGTGAGAATGTCATTAATGGATTTTTGAAGAAAAACAGGATAGGAAATTTACAGAAAGATTTTTGTTTACGGAGTTTAATGAGATTTGCATGGTTGTACTCAAGTGCCTGTTAATTTGCTACCTCTTTGATACTTTATATAAAGGGAGGTAACTCAATAAAAATACTATTGTGATATGTGGTTGTGTGATCATTTTTCTGGCAGTTTTTTTTTTTATTTAGAGATTGCAAAATACGAAATGCACTGTATATTTGAACAGTTAAGCCTTAAAGTAGATAAAATTACATAGTATTATAATAATATATATGTTCTTATAGTTTGTTATAGTCCTAGTGGCATAATGGGTCCAGTTTGACCGACTGGTCCTTGTTTGTTTGGTGGTCTAAATACCTATTGGGATTCATTCTTCATTGGCATTAATAAACACCTCACAATAATTTCTGAATTTACAGTATATAAAGATATATGTGTTTGGTCCAATCAGATTTGATGGAAATGAAATTCAGGGAAAATAAATAAAACATATTTCTTCTGTTCTATTCCAACTGTAACTGAGCAGTTATAATATGTTAAAAGTGATTACCTAAAATATAGAATATCAGTCATTGATTATCTGACTAAAAAATTATCTTTCTTTCAGATTTTAGTTTTCGTTTTTTTGGTAGAATGAAAGAAAGATAATTCTAGTTATATGTAATATTTGTTTATTCATGGAATCCCTTGATCTATAAAGGTTGTAAAATAAAACGTGTGGTTCTGACTATTGTGAACTTGCCTACTTGAAATCAGTTTTGATAGTAATATCATTTAGCAAGTAAATCTTATTGAAAGTTTTACATCACTTCTTTCTCCTTGAAAGTTTTACCAGTTTTCAGTGATATTATATTCTGTAAGGACATAAAGAGTTTGGGATGATTTTCTGCAAATTAAATAACAGACCTTAAATTTCTCTTTCTTGTATCAATTAAATTGCAAATACCAAATGTAAAACAAAATATGTTTTATTCTACAAACAAACAGTTTCGTTTTACATTAAATAATGGAAACAAAATACATTGAAGAAATAGAATTGTGACAGAATTTGAGACTGATAGAAATGTACTGTCAAGTTCATGTAGGTCTCTTGCAAGAAAGAAAATTGCATTTATATATAAACTGTAGAAATATAATGAAAAAGATGATGATTTCTTGGTTGTTTAGTGTGTGTCTTTTTGACAAATTGGTAACCTAAGGAAGCATACATATTGGAATGTTTGTAGTAAAGCAAGAGTTTTCTTGAATTATTTTTTATAACTGTCTGCAGTTGGTCCTCATGATTGGGTAATGAGTTTTCTACAACTGTTCAAAGAATTTCTCATATTTTGACCAAAAAAATTTGTAAGTACATTTCCAGAGAGTTTCTTAACCAATAAACTGCTATTAAACTGGCCACTAGATCTTGCATAAATATGATACAGCATTTAAACTTGTGCTTCAATTTCTGACTATTCATGAAGAGTGCCTTTGTCATACATTATATTAAACATTGATACACTATGAAGGAAATCTCTTTGAATGAGAAATTTTTTTTACATAATAAAATTCATTGGAAGCAATTTAGCATAATATTTTGCTTATGAATCTGCACTTGTGCTTGGAGGGTTTTATTTATGCATACACAGCATTTTTTGTGCTCTTTAAGAAATTTTATGATTGCATGTTTGAAATGATTTGAGCTTTTCTATAGTTAATGAGGACATAATTAATTATGTAATTAAGAAAGATATAATTAATTATGTAGTTGTTCTGTTATTGTTTATTTATTTATCGTTAAATGTTTACAAACTATTGTAAATATTAAAATGCCAAAAAGATGTATGAAATTAAACAGGAAATAATAAAAAATGAAAGTATACAATGACTTGTTTATTAAATTGGTGTATCTTGGTCATGTAGTCACACCCTATTACCTGTTATCAGTACGGCACAATGACTTGTTTTTATACGACCGCAAACATTTTTGCGGTCGTATTTTGGTATGACGTTGGCGTCGTCGTCCGAAGGCACATTGGTTTTCGCACTCTAACTTTAGTTTAAGTTAATGGATCTCTATGAAATTTTACCATAAGGTGAAATACCACAAAAGGAAGGTTGGGATTGATTTTGGGGGTTATGGTACCAACAGTTAAGGAATTAGGGGCCAAAAATAAGCATTTTCTAGTTTATAGACAATAACTTGTGGAACAGTGTATGGATCTCTTTGAAATTATACCACAAGGTTCCATACCACAAAGGGATGGTTAGGATTTGCTTTGGGGGGTTATGGCTCAAACTGTTTAGGAATTAGGGGCAAAAAGGGGGAAAAAACAAGGTTGTCCTGGTTAATGGACAAATACTTTAGTACAAAACATAATTTAAAGCAGTGTAAGGGAGATAAATCAAATACATCATTTGAATTACCTCCCTTACACTGCTTTTAAATTGTGTATAAAGTAATGGTTAATGAACAATTAAATACAAAGTTTTGATTACTTCCCGTACACTGCTTTTAAATTATGTTTAAAGAAATGCATATTTATAAAGGAAGACCAGTAAAAATATCTGCAAATGTTGCATTTTTTTTTTTTTTACAAAAAAATCCACATGAAAGATTTGACACCATATTTTTAATTCTATTATAAAATAGATTAAGTTAGTACTATGGAAAATTTAAAGGGGTAATAATGGTTGCAAACTCCATTGGAAATTTGAATTGAGATTATGACCATATCTTCAGGGAAAGATTTTTTTTGGGGGGAAAAGGGGGGGGGGGGGGGGGGGGTGGGTAAAAACAAATTGTGGGAAAGTCCAGTTTTCAAATTGGTCTACATTAAGGTCCAAAGGGTCCAAAATTAAACTTAGTTTGATTTTAACAAAAATTGAATATATGGGGTTCTTGTATATGCTGAATCTAAACATGTATTTAGATTTTTGATTTTGGGCCCAGTTTTCAAGTTGGTCCAAATTGGGGTCCAAAATTAAACTTTGTTTGATTTCAACAAAAATTGAATATATGGGGTTCTTTGATATGCTGAATCTAACCGTGAATTTAGATTTTTGTCGAGCCTGCGACATAGGGATAGTGATCCGGCGGCGTTAGCTAACTTCTTAAAAGCTTTATATTTTAGAAGGTGGAAGATCTGGATGCTTCATACTTTGTATATGGATGCCTCATGTTACGAAGTTTCCGTCAGTCACATGTCCAATGTCCTTGACCTCATTTTCATGGTTCAGTGACTACTTGAAAAAAAAGTTAAGATTTTTTGTAATGTTAAATTCTCTCTTATTATAAGTAATAGGATAACTATATTTGGTATGTGCGTACCTTGCAAGGTCCTCATGCCCGTCAGACAGTTTTCACTTGACCTCGACCTCATTTCATGGATCAGTGAACAAGGTTAAGTTTTGGTAGTCAAGTCCATATCTCAGATACTATAAGCAGTAGGTCTCCTATATTTGGTATATGGAATGATTGTAAGGTGTACATGTCCAACTGGTAAGTGTCATCTGACCTTGACCTCATTTTCATGGTTCAGTGGTCAAAGTTAAGTTTTTGAGTTTTGGTCTTTTTTTCTAATACTATATGCAATAGGTCAACTATAAATGGTGTATGGAAATATTTTATGATGTATATGTCAGTCTCACAGGTTTTATTTGACCTTGACCTCATTTTCATGGTTCTTTTCTCAGTGTTAAGTTTTTGTGTTTTGGTCTGCTTTTCTTCAACTATAAGCAATAGATCAACTATATTTGATGTATGGAAGGATTGTAAGGTATGTCTGTTTGGCAGGTATCATCTGACCTTGACCTCATTTTCATGGTTCATTGGTCAATGTTAAGTAAAATCAATGGTTAGTAAAGAAGGCGAGACATTTCAGCGTGTGCACTCTTGTTAATTTTGGGTCCCGTATTTTAAATTGGTCTACATTAAGGTCGAAAGGGTCCAAAATTAAACTTAGTTTGATTTTAACAAAAAATGAATTCTTGATGTTCTTTGATATGCTGAATCTAAACATGTGTTTAGATTTTTGATTATGGGCCCAGTTTTCAAGTTGGTCCAAGTTGGGGTCCAAAATTAAACTTTGTTTGATTTCAACAAAAATTGAATATATGGGGTTCTTTGATATGCTGAATCTAACCATGTATTTAGATTTTTTATTTGTGGGCCCCGCTATCAAATTGGTTCATATTGAGGTCAAAAGGGTCCAAAATTAAACTTTGTTTGATTTCATCAAACATTGAATTATTGGGGTTCTTTGATATGCCAAATCTAACCTTATATTTAGATTTTTAGTTTTGGGTCCCGTTTTTATACGCCCGTTTACGGGACGTATTATTTAAATTGGTCTACATTAAGGTCCAAAGGGTCCAAAATTAAACTTAGTTTAATTTTAACAAAAATTGAATTCTTGGGGTTCTTTGATATGCTGAATCTAACCGTGTATTTAGATTTTTAATTTTGGGTCCCGTTTTTTAAATTGGTCTACATTAAGGTCCAAAGGGTCCAAAATTAAACTTAGTTTGATTTTAACAAAAATTGAATTCTTGGGGTTTGATATGCTGAATCTAAACATGTGTTTAGGTTTTTGATTATGGGCCCAGTTTTCAAGTTGGTCCAAGTTGGGGTCCAAAATTAAACTTTGTTTGATTTCAACAAAAATTGAATATATGGGGATCTTTGATATGCTGAATCTAACCATGTATTTTGATTTTTGGGCCCCGTTATCAAATTGGTCCACATTGAGGTCAAAAGGGTCCAAAATTAAACTTTGTTTGATTTCATCAAATATTGAATTCTTTGGATTCTTTGATATGCTGAATCTAACCATGTATTTAGATTTTGGATATTGGACCATAATAGGTGAATGTCCAATTTAAAATTTTTAAGTTCTTAGACCACATTCATTCTGTGTCAGAAACCTATGCTGTGTCAAATATTTAATCACAATCCAAATTCAGAGCTGTATCAAGCTTGAATGTTGTGTCCATACTTGCCCCAACTGTTCAGGGTTCGACCTCTGTGGTCCTATCAAGCTGCGCCCAGCGGAGCATTTTATTTAATTTGGTCTATCTTGGTCATGTAGTCACACCCTATTACTAGCTATCAGTACGGCACAATGACTTGTTTATTAATTTGGTCTATCTTGGTCATGTAGTCACACCCTATTACCTGCTATCAGTACGGCACAATGACTTGTTTATTAATTTGGTCTATCTTGGTCATGTAGCCACACCCTATTACCTGCTATCGGTACGGCACAATGACTTGTTTATTAATTTGGTCTATCTTGGTCATGTAGTCACACCCTATTACCTGCTATCAGTACGGCAGATGCAATAGGTATCACTGGACAAAATCTGAGGTACAATAATCCATTGTATTGCAACGGCTATCAGAAAGGCAGATAAAAATATGATGTACACGAGAGCAAAAACAGTTGCTTTTAATGGCAATTAGTAACCGAGATCTTATTAGCTCACCGGGGCCCCATGTGAGCTTATGCCATCACTTGGCGTCCGTCGTTTTCCATCGTCTGTCGTCGTCGTCGTTGTCTGTTGTCGTCTGTCGTTGTCTGTCGTCGTAAACTATTTAAAAAATCTTCTCCTCTGAAACTACTGGGCCAAATACCTTCAAACTTTAACTAAATGTTCCTTAGGGTATCTAGTTTATAAATTTTTGATCCATCAACAAACATGGCCGCCATGGCTAAAAATAGAACATAGGGGTCAAATGCAGTTTTTGGCTTATATCTCAAAAACTAAAGCTTTTAGAGCAAATCTGACATGGGGTGAAATTGGTCAATTGGTTAAGATGTTCTGAAATTTTCAGACGAATCAAACAACCCTTTGTTAGGTTGCTGCCACCGAATTGGTAGTTTTAACAAAATTTTGCAGTTTTTTGTTATTATTTTAAATATTATTATAGATATATATTAACTGTAAGCAGCAATAATGTTCAGCAAAGTAAGATCTACAAAAAAGTTAATATGACCATAATTGTCAATTGACCCCTTAAGGAGTTATTGCCCTTTAAAGACAATTTTACACAATTTGTTCATCAAGTTTGCTAACATTTAAAATTCTTCTCCTCTGAAACTACTGGGCCAATTACCTTCAAACTTTAACTAAATGTTCCTTAGGGTATCTTGTTTATAAATTGTATCCGAAGCTTGTATCCATTGACAAACATGGCCGTAATGGCTAAAAATAGATTTGAAGGCTTATGAATAGATCCAGCAGCCCCAACTAATCTAATCTGTTTAGTATGAAACAGACTACAACACTTTTCTTTGAAGATGGACTACCAATTTACTATAAACCTCCCAAGTTTTGTTTCCAAACATTAGCACAGATTGAATCAGGCTTTAGTGTGTATATAGGATTTGTATTTATTTAACTGTCCACTGCTGTCTCCTGGAAGATTGCTTGTCTCATGTTGGAATAAATGCAGATAACATGATGTCAGTTGCAGACTTCTATTTTGAGCTGGCATGTTATTAAACCAGCTCAGATTGCCAAGCTAGAACTAAGCATCAAATATTCATATGACCTTTATAACATGTTAGCATCCTGAATATGCATCTTGTATTGTCACTGGAGGTTAAACACCAATCAATCAATCAACAATACCTATTTGTTAATCATATACATATAAATTAGCTAAATTTGCTTGAAAGGTTAAAAACTTAATTTTCACAATGAGGATAGTATTAGAATGATTAGGTCAAGGAATATGAAACTAATATATGATCTGTTACTGTTTATAATATAATGAATAAAAAGGATAACATGAGTTACCAAAAATATTGGAGAGGACAACAGACCGAACCAACCGTCCAACACTTGTCTCGCACAAAAAAAGGCTGACAAACAAAGATGAACAACACAAGGTCCAGATGGCCTGACTTGTAACAGGCACTTAATGGGGTTACCCAGTTTTACATGCACTTGACCCATCCCCCTTTCCAATTAATTACCAAATTAAATCAATATCTACCTGTACATTGAGACTGACAACAAAGAGAAAAACTGTTGTTAAAGTCAAAATTTCCAAGTAATAAGGTCAAAAGAAGGTCACTAACAGGTAATTTGGATATTCTAATTGGTATTATCAGTTTGCTTGGTTCCTGTATCACTCTGCTTAGCTCTTCATAGAATTGCATATCATTGCTTTGTGAAGTCAAATATGCTTTACCCTGCCTAATCATCACCAATGTAATAATGTTTGATTCAACATTGACAAGTTTGACCAGGTTTGCTCGTAAAACCAAGAAAAACTATTGATTTTCTTTAACGATAAAACTAAATACAATCAGATTAATTTGATTATCAGATTTTTCTTATGAAATATCAGCTGCTCAACACAATATGAAGACTTTTTTTAACTGTTCCGTCCACTCACTTGACAAAAAGCTTAATATAACAGTGTTTATAATGACGTTTAGCTGATATTTTTACAGTATTTATGTACAGAAAACTTGGTAATCTATACTTCTCTAATTTTTTCACTATTTTTACATTTCCCAACCGATTGTGAAAAAATTGTTCTCACTAGTGAAATATCTGTTCTCGGCAAATGATTATTGGAAATTTAATTATGAAGTCAAATTTTCTTGGTTTCTTCTGAATTTCCTATTGTGATGTCATGAATAAAGGCAACCATGCCTGATGATGTCACATATAAAGAACACAACTTTCTGCAAATCAGAAACAGATTCCACCACTATAACTCGTGTATTACAATATTTCTCCACTCTCAACAGTTAAATTTTAATGTCTCGAGTGGAGAAATATCGTAACACACTTGTTGCAGTGGTGGAATCTAATTTTCCAACACCAAATCCACCAAAACAAAACTTGTCATTTTACAATTCCCTAAAATACATCAAATAGCAGATTAAAAAGAATCAAAGCTGAAATACCTCTTCATTATGTTAGAATGTATGTGACCGTAATAATGTTAGTAATGTGATAACTACAACAGTGGCAAACTTTTCCATAAATACTCATTGTATAACTCTGTACCAAATATAACTACAACAATGGCAAACTCTTCCATAAATACTCATTGTATAACTATGTACTAAATATAACTACATCAATGGCAAACTCTTCCATAAATACTCATTGTATAACTCTATACCAAATATAACTACAACAATGGCAAACTCTTCCATAAATACTCATTGTATAACTCTGTACCAAATATAACTACAACAATGGCAAACTTTTCCATAAATACTCATTGTATAACTCTGTACCAAATATAACTACAACAATGGCAAACTCTTCCATAAATACTCATTGTATAACTCTATACCAAATATAACTACAACAATGGCAAACTCTTCCATAAATACTCATTGTATAACTATGTACTAAATATAACTACAACAATGGCAAACTCTTCCATAAATACTCATTGTATAACTATGTACTAAATATAACTACAACAATGGCAAACTTTTCCATAAATACTCATTGTATAACTCTGTACCAAATATAACTACAACAATGGCAAACTTTTCCATAAATACTCATTGTATAACTATGTACCAAATATAACTACAACAATGGCAAACTCTTCCATAAATACTCATTGTATAACTATGTACTAAATATAACTACATCAATGGCAAACTCTTCCATAAATACTCTTTGTATAACTCTGTACCAAATATAACTACAACAATGGAAAACTCTTCCATAAATACTCATTGAATAACTCTGTACCAAATATAACTACAGCAATGGCAAACTCTTCCATAATTACTCATTGTATAACTATGTACCAAATATAACTACAACAATGGCAAACTCTTCCATAAATACTCATTGTATAACTCTGTACCAAATATAACTACAACAATAACAAACTCTTCCATACATACTCATTGTATAACTATGTACCATATATAACTACAACAATGGCAAACTCTTCCATAAATACTCATTGTATAACTATGTACCAAATATAACCTCAACAATGAGCAAAGATAGAGAAGAATCACAACCTTTAATCAAATCAAAAGGAGGTCAGCTGTAGTAAAACAAATTTATAACCTCTAACAATTTGCATGCAACTATGTAATAATCAAGCTTACTGTTTTGTTTTTTTCCACAACTCCTACAGGAAAATAAGGCAAACATAAAAAAAGAAGGCATTGAAGTATCTTTATGGCTGAATTTGGTCCACAGGGTTCAGTAGAGAGGTTTTTTTTTAAAAATAAAACATTATTAAATGGACAAGAGAAGCCAGGCCAGTTTATAAGAGCAAAACACCAATTTGCTTACAGAAATCTATATAAGATTGAACTTGTATGTCCTGAATATACATCATCATAAAGTATCGGTATTTTCCAGGGAAACAACTAGTTATAAGGCCTTCTTTAATAAAGCTAAGGTCTATAGTTGATTGACACTGGGCAAACAAAATAATTGTGGAAATAAACTAATCCTCTAAAAATAACAAATTTGAGTTGTTCACTTTATTGTAAATAAAATCCTCTTGAATACACTAATATATAAAACCAATAACAAAAGTATCACAACTTTATAACAAAATTAGATCTGATGACAAAAAAATCAGGCTTAGATTTGACATAATACAAGTATATAATTATATATCATGAAAGAACAAGCATCAACAAAAATTATATCACAAGTCAAGATAGGAAAATATTTCTTTGTAGAAATGTTGTAAATCAGTCTTTACAAGGGTAATTAGAAGTAAATACATGTGAATAAAACAATATGTAGGTTGGTCAATAAGCCAGCAACCCACACACAACAAAAAAACACAAATGACATTTGATTTATTTTCTCTAATAAGATAAAAAAATATTCAGACTTTTAAAAACTGCTTTTACCAATTCAATAAGTCATTAAGAATGATTGTGCTCTAAATTAGACATTTTACAATAATACACACATTTACTATCTACAACTATTGCAACACTGAGTTGATGCCACTGCTGGTGGAGATTTACTCCCCGAGGGTATCACCAGTCCAGTAGTCAACACTTCAGTGTTGACATGAATTATCATTGATATGGTCATACTTATAAATTTACTGTTTACAAAACTTGAAAAAAAGTTTCTATACATTAAGAATTTTCTACCCCAGGAATAGAAATTAGCCGTAGGTAGCAAAATTTTAAGGAATTTTGGGTCCTTAATGCTCTGCAACTTTGTTCTTTATTTGACCTTTTAAGCTTTTTTGATTCGAGCTTCACTGATGGGTCTTTTCTACAAAATTTGAGTCCTCGTATCTGTGATGAGTTAGTTGTATATAAATAGCATTATATGAATTAAATCATTATTGGTTGGGTACTAACTTTTGTGAATTTATGGGTATATCTGAACCAGGAATTCCAGATTTTAACAGATCACAAAACACCTGAAGTCTTGTATGCAGAATTTGTCAAAATGATAAAATCAAGTATCCATTAAAAAAAAAAACCAATTTGTCCTCATTCAAAGAAAATTAGTAACCAAGTAACAAATGCATAGACAGTTCATATTTATCTCAGGATATTTCCTATGATATTGAAATTGTAATCATTTATCAAGTGAAGGTAGTCATGGTGATGACGTAAATGCTAAATTAGATTAAAATAAATAAACATGCTATTCATAAAACTGTGCAGCATTCAACAACACAACCACTTAAAGTCAAATATTGTAAAAAAAAAAAAGTCATTTAAAGCTGCAATCTCCAGAAATCTGCCTTTCTAATACATGCACATGAATTCATTTACATAAAGCTCCAGGAATCTGCCTTTTTTATAGACACACAAGATCTTTGACTATACACATGAGTAATTTTGCACCAAGCTCCAGTAATCTGCCTTTCTCATACAGAAACATGAGCTCTTTGGCTAACCATTGGTACTCACAAACATTGAATATAGAAATATGATATAAACTATTTACAACATACAGATCTTATATATCATGCCTGAAATATATTATTTCCTGGATTGAGACTGTACAAAACAAAAATGTGGTACATATCTGCAAATAAATCAATAATGAATAAAAACTTCTATAACACTAATATAAGACATTTCATTTAAATTTCTTTCTAAATCAGTATTTTAAAAATGTACCACAAATAGCATCCAGAACAACTTAACAATAAATTAAATACATTATTCTTCCCTATCTAAATCACAAAAGGAAGATCAATTATGTTTTGCACAAAAAATATAAATGTTAAAGGTTACCATGAAAACTCAATTGTCATCTGGTGTTCATTTGTTGATTTTAGATGTGCTTCTACTTTCTGCACTGCTAGCCACTGGTCCAATGCCACAAACTTGTAAAATTTTATTCGGACTAATAAGTATTTGCAAAACTATGTTCAAACACACAAGAAAAATGTTGGTATATTGGTCTTTGGACTAGTAGTTAAAAAGATTTTGGTGCAGACTATTTCAATACAAAGGAGATTGTGTAAATTTTAAGAGCTAAGAAAGCATGTGACATAAGTTCACATAACACATTTGAAAACAACATCTCTGCTAATGCAAAATGTACTTGCTACATCACTTGTATTTATAACATGTAAAACTTACAATCTCCATTCAATACTTGATAGAAAGTAAACACTGAATAAACAATATTTATATGATTCTGTAACATTAAGTAGTCCATATTTCAGGTACAACATTAAAGCAATTGATAAAATATAGAATACACTTTGTCTGGAAACAAGAACAGGAAGAACTTTTATAATGCCCAGTCATATAAATATCAAATAGATTCTCCATATTTTGGTAGTGGTGCAGAAATATCATGATAATTAGGTGGAGCTGTCATAATTATTGGTCCATCTTCAGTTCCTATTTCTGCCATCATAATTGACTCGTAAGCTGGCGGTGGATCAGGTCGTGTACATGTATTCAGCTGATCATTGGAAGGAGTGTGGATCACTAAAAATTCACAATAATGTTAGCTATTATACAAACAATTTTATTTCATATCCCTAAAAAAATTATGGTGCTAGCATGGCAACAAGAAATAGTATTAAATTCTATAAGTCTACTTCCTTAAAAATGGCCCAAATTATATTTTTTTCTGATAAATGAACTCATCTTTGAAAACCTTCATCCATATTTGAAGAAGATCCCACAAAAGATGAAGATGCTAACATAGCAACAACAAAACCATAGATGACTGAGGAAGCAAAAACATTAAACCCCTCAGTCACTTTGTTGTGTGGGATACAATGATTTCATTTGAATACTCATTTTATTTCACAATCTATTTACTTGTCAATAATCTTCACAATTTTGAATAGTCTATAAACAACCTTGTCCTTTGGCCTTTAGTGGATAATTAAATATTATAGTTAATATAGATATTGACAGGCATTCTAATCTTTATATCTACCTGAACAAGTCTGCATACACTGCTGAGGTGGGCGTCTTGGACGTCCTCTAGATATTCTCCATTTTCTTGAGATAAATAATTTTCCCAATATTATAGCAGTGACTAATATGATAAGACCACATACTGAAAAGAGAAAGATGGACGAATTTACAAATATTGTTGGACAACAGATTCCAAAGCTCTGTTTGGAATGAAAATGCACCGTTTGTTCTTGTTTACCATTTGCATATTTTATTTGTATGAACATTTATTACAAACATTTATAATTTAAAAGCCAGTTTTTTTTAGTTTCACTGGTTTGTCCTTGAGTCTTCTAAACCATAAGTGGTAATGACTGGATGTAAGCTCCTCACCAATGATATTGCATGTTAAGTCAAGACCAAATATCAAGGTAATGGACTAAATATCTCTGTATGTTTGAATATTCTCTAAAACCTTAAAGGTAATATGAAAATACTGTAAATTCAGAAATTTTACATGCATTTATTATTGCAATTTATGCACCATTTACAAAATGTGAGATTGATTATTGTGAATTCAGGAAATGTTGCATACAAATATAAATGATATCAAAATTAACACTATGAATTGCTTAAAGCTTTTTTCAATTAATACCAAGTTTCCATATCCATGTCCTATGAAATATAGTGCTTGCCATGACCTCCTGGTCAATTGTTCTCTGTTTAATTAATTTACATTTAGTTTTTCCTATTTTTAATTAAGTCCTTAGTTCACTATTTTGACAGAAGAATCTTACCAATGCCCATTACACATAACATAATAGTTATGGCGTATCCAGATTTGACAGCATCACCAATAAACACACTTCCTATCACTAACATAACTAAACCAAATAAAGCAGCACATGAGAAACCAATCACCATTTGTCGAACCAATTTTGGTCCATCATGACCTTCAAGTTTGTCTTCTTCATCATTTAGATAATGCTCTCTGCATGGTCTATGTGATGGTCTCACAGACACTGGTGAGAAAGACCCATCTCCTGCCATTTTTTGTGTTTAAAGTATTGTCAGATCAACTCATCACCTGAAAAAAGAAAATAATAAAATGATGGATTGTTTTTAGCAGTGGTAATTTATTCACCTTTCTCTTTCAAGTCTATAAAATTTTGAAAATTTTGTACTTAAGCATCAAAAGCTTAACTTTTGTACAGACAAACTACATCAAAAGCTAAACTTTTGTACAGCCAAACTAATCAATAAATGATTTTTTTTAAAAGGAGAAATTTAAAATTCCCATGAATGAACTTCACAGAGAACAAAAGCTTTTGTTTTTATTCAAAGAGACAGTTCATTCTGCAAAAATTTAATTGGCCAGGTAAACTGTCAAGATGAAGAACAGGAATAAAAGCCCTGTTCATTGATAATTTTCTATGTTTTCTATGTATTGTGTGCGATTTTGTCCCATGTACATTTTCTCCATATCCTTTCATTTTCTAATAATTCTGAGGAAAGGTTAAACTTCCTTCGAAATAAAAGATTTATGGAAAACAAAACAGTTAAATCTAATCTATTACTGGTGCCACTGAAAAGAAGAATACATAATGCATTAAACCATTGTATTTCAAGAAATTAATATACATCAACACGTCACTCATGTCAGTACTAACCTGGATAATCAGTGGAATATTATAGGACACATCAAGAGGAACTCAGCTCTTAATGAAACAATGCAACAAGCATATGTGATGAATAAAATATAATTGTGTTGTAAAATAAAATGCTTTGCTGAGCGCAGCCTGATACCACCGCAGAGGTCGAACCCTTAACAGTTGGGGCAAGTTTGGACACAATATTCAAGCTTGATACTGTCTGATTTTGGATTGTGATCAAATTTTTGACATAATATAGGTTTCTGACACAAAATAAATGTGGTCATAGATCTTAAAAATTTGAAATGGGACATTTAATTTACCTAGTATGGTCTGATATCCAAAATCTAACAACATGGTAAGATTCAGCATATAAAAAAACACCCAAAATTTAATTTTAGTTGAAATAAAACAAAGTTTAATTTTTGACCCTCCAAACCTTAATATGGACTAATTTGAAAACAGGGCCCAAAATAAAAAATCTAAATGCACAATAAGATTCAGCATATCATAGAGCCGCAATAATTCAGTTTTTGATGAAATCAAACAAAGTTTAATTTTGGACCCTTTGGACCTCAATGTAGACCAATTTAAAATTGGAGCCCAATATCCAAATAGTAATACAAGGTTAGAACCCCCAAAAATTAAAGACTTAAATTAATCCCATTGAAATTGGTTAAAAGATTTGTATTTATTTTCAATTGAAGATTTCTTGCTATTGCGCAATACTGTGCACAATACTTAGTTAATCTGTTATAAGGTCTGAGGACACAGTTATCATCCTTAGATTTTCGTTGTCTACAAATATAGTCTCTAGTGTGGACAGTGTATAACTTGCAAATTTTTTTCATACACTTTCCAAATTTATTTCTTTATATTTTATGCATGAAATATTAAGTAAGGGGATGAAATTACATGTTAAAAAAATTTGGGTGCTGAATCTTTACGTAAAGTAGTGATTTGGTCCAGTTAAAAAAGGTAAAAAACTAGTATGTCTGAAGCTGTCAAACTGAATTTTAGACCCCCTTAACATAGAATTGTGAATATTTTGAGTTAGAGCTGGTAGACTTTTCTATAATTTTGATATTATTTGTTCCAATAGTAGTACACTACACTGTAAAAATCTTTTTGAGATAGAGCAGGTACGATTTTTTAAATTTGACTTTATAGTCTAGAAGAAATGCACTACGAAATAACTGTTCTTGGGCCATATATAATAATTTACACATCCTGATCGGTGTGTATCTCCTGCCATATCAGTATTTGTTACTTTTATATATAAATCAGAAATAATCAATGTAAAAATTGAAATTTTTTGGGAAAACCAAAAAATTATGAAAAAAAAAATCCCCCCCCCCCCAAAAAAAAAATTTGAAAAAATTTTAAATTTTGAAAAATCTTGAAGAAAAAAGTATGAACCCCCAAAAAAGAAATCCCCCCCCCCCCCTCTAAAATTTTTTTTTCAAAAAATTTGAAATTCCTAAAATTTTGAAGAAAAAAAAATATGAACCCCCAAAAAAAATTTGAAAAAAATCCCCCACCCCCAAATTTTTTCAAAATTTTGAAGATTATTTTTCTTTTCAGGAAAAATATACAATTTCAGAGAGTTCCATAAACTTTAACACAAGTTATTGTCTGGAAACTAGAAAAATGCTTTTTTTTCACCCCTTTTTTGCCCCTGCAATTACCCCCAAACTCAATCCTAGCCTTCCCTTTGTGGTATGGAACCTTGTAGTACAATTTCAGAGAGATCCATAAACTTAAAGACAAGTTATTGTCTGGAAACTAGAAAAATGTTTGTTTTTGGCCCCTTTTTGTCCCTAATTCCTGAACATTTGGGGCAATTACCCCCAAACTCAATCCCAGCCTTCCCTTTGTGATATGGAACCTTGTTCCATAACCGTTTTACAGATGATATCGGATATGTTCCTTATGTCGTAACTACAATACCCTCCCTTTTCACGAATGTGACTTACCGAATTAGACTATTTACCGGATTTGTAATAACATAAGCAACACGATGGGTGCCACATGTGGAGCAGGATCTGCTTACCCTTCCGGAGCACCTGAGATCACCCCCAGTTTTTGGTGGGGTTCGTGCTGCTTAGTCTTTGGTTTTCTATGTTGTGTCATCTGTACTATTATTTGTCTGTTTGTCTTTTTATTTTTGGCCATGGCGTTGTCAGTTTGTTTTCGATCTATGAGTTTGACTGTCCTTCTGGTATCTTTAGTAAAATTGAGAATGGAAATGGGGAATGTGTCAAAGAGACAACAACCCGACCATAGAGCAGAAAACAGCTGAAGGCCACCAATGGGTCTTCAATGCAGCGAGAAACTCCCGCACCCGGAGGCGTCCTTCAGCTGGCCCCTAAACAAATATGTATACTAGTTCAGTGATAATGGACGTCATACTAAACTCCAAATTATACACAAGAAACTAAAATTAACAAGAGTGCACACGCTGAAATGTCTCGCCTTCTTTACAAATCATTGATATTATGTTGATAGTCCTAAATATAAAGCTTTATTACAACTGTCACATAAACTTAACATTAACCAAGTAAACTAAACATTGACCAATGAACCATGAAAATAAGGTCAAGGTCAGATGAACCATGCTAGGCAGGCATGTACAGCTAACAATTCTTCCATACAACAAATATAGTTGACCTATTGCTTATAGTTTAAGAAAAACAGACAAAAACACAAAAACTTAACACTGAGCAATGAACCTTGAAAATGAGGTCAAGGTCAAATAAAACCTGCGTGACTGACATATAGATCATAAAATATTTCCATACACCAAATATAGTTGAACTATTGCATATAGTATTAGAAAAAAAGACCAAAACTCAAAAACTTAACTTTGACCACTGAACCATGAAAATGAGGTCAAGGTAAGATGACACCTGCCAGCTAGACATGTACACCTTACAATCATTCCATACACCAAATATAGCTGACCTATTGCATGCAGTATTAGAAAGAAAGACCAAAACTCAAAAACTTAACTTTGACCACTGAACCATGAAAATGAGGTCAAGGTCAGATGACACCTGCCAGCTAGACATGTACACCTTACAATCATTCCATACACCAAATATAGTAGACCTATTGCATACAGTATAAGAAAAACAGACCAAAACACAAAAACTTAACTATAACCACTGAACCATGAAAATGAGGTCAAGGTCAGATGACACCTGCCAGTTGGACATGTACACCTTACAGTCCTTCCATACACCGAATATACTAGACCTATTGCTTATAGTATCTGAGATATGGACTTGACCACGAAAACTTAACCTTGTTCACTGATCCATGAAATGAGGTCGAGGTCAAGTGAAAACTGTCTGACGGGCATGAGGACCTTGCAAGGTACGCACATACCAAATATAGTTATCCTATTACTTATAATAAGAGAGAATTTAACATTACAAAAAATCTGAACTTTTTTTTCAAGTAGTCACTGAACCATGAAAATGAGGTCAAGGACATTGGACATGTGACTGACGGAAACTTCGTAACATGAGGCATCCATATACAAAGTATGAAGCATCCAGGTCTTCCATCTTCTAAAATATAAAGCTTTTAAGAAGTTAGCTAACGCCGCCGCCGCCGCCGTAGCCGCCGCCGCCGCCGCCGCCGGATCGCTATCCCTATGTCGAGCTTTCTGCGACAAAAGTCGCAGGCTCGACAAAAATGATACAAGACTAACAAAGGCCAGAGGCTCCTGACTTGGGACAGGTGCAAAAATGCGGCGGGGTTAAACATGTTTTTTGAGATCTCAACCCTCCCCCTATACCTCTAGCCAATGTAGAAAAAACAAACGTACAACAGTACGCACAGTAAAACTCAGTTTAAGAGAAGTCGGAGTCCGATGTCAGAACAGGAAACAAAAGAAAATAAACAAAATGACAATAATACATAAATAACAACAGACTACTAGCAGCTACTGACATGCCAGCTCCAGACCTCAATTAAACTGATTGAAAGATTATGTCTTCATCTTATGAATATCAAGCACAATCCCTCCTGTTAGGGGTTTAGTATTATACCGTCATAAAATATATGAGAAGAACATAACCCGTGTCATGCCAACAACTGGTTTTAGAATAAATATGTTTAATTCCGATGCAAAGACCTTATAAGTGAATCAATATTAAAGCCAAAATATGCAATCTTTAATGACCTGACAACAGTATCGTAACTATATCCCTTCTTAATAAGTCTGTTTAAAGGTTTTGTTAGCTTTTGAGGTGAATACTGACATTTTTGTGCTTTGTAAAGAATATTACCATAAAAGATTGGATATGAAATACCCGAACGTATAAGATGTCTGCATGTTGAGTTATATTTACGAATGATGTCCTTATACCGATGATAAAATTTAGTAAATGTTTTGACTAGTTTATGATATCGAAAACCCTGGTGT